AGGGGGGGGGGGGGGGGGGAGGTAGAGACTTGAAAAATGAAAGCCCATACAGTATGGTAAAAGTAAAACCAACAATCAACATTTAATTTGTATGACTTTTTCATTGTTTGATTTAACACAACTTTATTATGTTCGATCTTGAAATGCGAGAAATACAATAGGAAATACAAGAATTACGAGCAATACGAGCAATACAAGAAATACGAGAAATGCAAAAGTTTCAATGACAACGTGTTAGCCCGCAATATGGGCAGGAGTCAGGCTAAGTTTTAGGTTTATAAGTCCAGTCTCCCGCGCGGCTTAATTACCCGACCTGACCGAGAGGTTTGGGTCCGAACATCCTCCCCGCTTCTCCAACGTGCTTGGAGAACTTTAATATCACTGTTCGTTTTCTTAGTTGTTTTTAGTGTCTTTCCTTTCTGACGACGCGATTCTCGTTTCTTCAGATTAACCTCCACGCAGTGCGGAACGTCCTTACTGGAATTCATGTTCATATTTTCAGTGACTTCGAGGCGATGTAATCTTTGCACCGGTCTTCGTAAGGTTCCCTTCCTCGCGCGCAAGGTAACTGCGCGAATCAAACCATCATTTCCTGGATGTATTTGCTCAACACGCCCCATAGGCCATCTTCCTCGCGACACGCTATCATCAGATATCAGCACAACATCACCAATCTTAATTGAAGCCTCTTCATTAGTCCATTTGTGACGAACGGATAGCTTATGTAAATATTCATTTCGCCAACGTTTTACCTATTTTTGTTGATACAAGTACCTCCGAACAATTCTCTTACTGTCTGTTAATTCGATCTCTTCCATCGCATCCGGTAGGTTTACCAGTGATCTTCCAATCGCTAGATGCGCAGGTATAATAGGTGTATCGTCGTTGACATCATCACTCACGGTGGTAAGAGGTCTGCTGTTGATAACTGCTTCGATTTTAACCAACACTGTCGTAAGTTCTGTGAACGATAGAAGCGATTTACCCAATACTTTACGTAGAGGTTCTTTCACCGAACGTACAAGTTTCTCCCACCATCCGCCTTGCCACGGAGCACGCTCAACAATGAATTTCCATTTTATTCCCTTGCTTGCAAGCTTAGCCATAACTTCATCTTGATTAATGTGACTCCATAAATTACTTGTATCGGATGACTGAGCCGAATAAAGCTTTCGGATCTTTTGCTCTGCAGATTTAAAGGTCTTGGCATTATCAGACCACATAGTTTCGCAAAGTCCTCTCCTACCGATCATACGACTTAAGGCTTGGAGGAATTCATTCGTTGACATATCTTTAAACAGTTCTATGTGCACCATGCGAGAAGAAGCACACGTAAAGATACACACGTAAGCCTTTTTTGGTGTCTTGTCGCGTACATATAACGGCCCTGCAAAGTCTACTCCTACGTGGGTAAATGGTGGCGAAAATGAAACTCGTTCGTGTGGCAAAGGACCCATTTTCTGTGTCAAAGGACCTTTTCTTTGACGTTGACAAGTAATGCATCGACCAATAATCCTCTTGACTTCGCGTCTTCCCTTGGTCAACCAGATGCTCTGGCGTAGAACGGAAAGAGTCATTTCAGGTCCGGCATGGAGTAATTCCTGGTGTCTTTTCTGGATGATCTTCTCTGTAAGAGGGTGTCCGTGTGGAATAATAACTGGATGTTTAGTGGCTTCGGGTAAGTCTGAATACTGTAACCTCCCACCTACTCTGAGGGTACGACTGTTCTTATCAAAGTACGGATCTAGCTTCAAAATGCGACTGTTCCGTTGTAACGTCTTGCCTGATGCTAATCTTTCATACTCTTCGGGAAAGGCTTCTTTCTGAATGTGACGATACCAAAAGGTTTCAGCATTTGCAATTTCATCAACTGACAATTCTTTAGGGCAATCATGCTTCTTTAATTTCAAGTTGGCTACAAATCTCAAAACGTACGCCGTACTCAGGCCGATTAATGCTTGGCTCTTACTTGGCTCTGCCCACACTTGACTTGATATCTCTGCGCGAGTTGCGCACGCGATTAAACATATATAGCGTGTTGCTATTTTAGTGTGTTTTAGCGTTCGAATGAAACTGAAATTGAATAAATATGAGCTGTTGGATCATGTTAGCTTGTAGCAACCATAGTAAATATATTATATATACAGGGATAGTAAATTATTAGTTTTTCTTGTACAATTGGCCGTTGTATAGTATAATATATCATATGCGATATGCGGCGACCTTTGAACTTTAATATATAAAGCTCGCTATTGCGGGTTTTTATGTCTGAATTATTCAACATTGATTTGTGTTTTCTCTTTAGTTTCCCACGCACAGAAAATATTTGAAATACAAATAATTACCCAGCATATGGCTGGTTCAAACTTTCTTGGGGTGGTGATGTTTTACTACTCGTTTTAGTGTGACATATTTCTCTTAAAACTCTTAAGGGCGCAATATAAAATGTTGTTGTTGAAATATAATATCCTTTGATACAAAGGCTCAGACTTGTGTCGAATATTCTGTTCAATATATAAACGAGCATATGTATCATATTGTACTTCTGTGCATATTATTCTTTCTGTTACTCGCATATCCTTTGAATGCACCACGTACTATTAGTTGCAGTTTGTTAGTCATTGTCTGTGTATTTGTATTTCATATTTTGTTTCACGGCAGGGGCCTATAATGATTATGGCGTGCGCGAATTCATCACGCGAAAAACGCGTTGGACTTGCCGACACATAAGACAACGTTAATGTGGGTCGTTAATACGCAGATTTTGTCCAGAGTACAGCCAACTTTGGTCCCACAATTAGAATTGCAAGCATTGTAATCTGGAACGATCATTTTATTGCAAATCATATTGACATTGTGCGAGGCATTGTTCTATTCATAGCAATATTTTCATATCTGTGGCAAAATCTTCAAGTTTCTAATTACAGTATAAGAGTAAAAGGTTCCGTGATAATATTTTTGTACATATCTACGAATGTTTAGTGTGTCGGCAAGCCGTATTTTAAAACAGTAACTTGAGTTAATTTCCATTATCACCGCTTATATCTTGTCACGTGACCGGTTTCCATGGAAACCAAATAGTTGAAAAATATCGGCCATTGATTTCCAACATCTCATCCAAAAATGAGATTCATAGTGTGTTTTGTTAATTTTTAATTAATTTTTAAAGATTTTTCCTATTTCCTCACTCCTTACAAAATTGGAGCCATGCATTAATGCACCTGAGTAACTCATATTAACTTGATCCATCGTTCATAACGCCCATGGTCGATAACTGTCTTATTTGAAACGGTAACAAAGTTTTGAACTGGTCTAGCTTTCCTTTTGAGCATCTCGTGTAGAAGCTTGATTTAATTTCTGATTTGGCCACGTTTCCTCTGCGGATGACAACCATGAAGGACCTTTCCACCACAAATCGCTCTCTTTTAGATTTCTTGATGTTACTCCACGAGTCAGTAAGTCGGCGGGATTTTCCACCCCTGGACAGTGCCTCCATTTCTGCGGATCCCACGTCTGTTGAATCTCTGCAACACGGTTTGCAACGAAAGTCTTCCATTGTGAGCAAAGTCCTCGAATCCAGTGAAGTGTGACCTCACTGTCTGTCCAACAAACTACGCGCTCTAGGGTTGATAATGACTCTGCAACAAATTTCAATAACCGCGAATTGATCACAGCGGCAAGCAGTTCAAGTCTGTGCAACGACACGACCTTCGCAGGGGCCACTCTGGTTTTCGACATGACAAGATGGGTGTCAACATCACCATTCTGTTGGGTTACTCTGACGTATGCAACAGCACCATACGCCTTTGGTGAAGCATCTCCAAACCCATGCAGCTCTACACTTGTACCAGACTTTCCATTCTGCATAAAACAACGGGGAATACTAATTTCGTTTATCGTAGGCAACTCAGTCTTCCAGGCATTCCATTGTTGTAGAATGTCCTCAGGCAATTGTTCATCCCATTGTAGACCTCTGTTCCACAGCTGTTGAAACAGCATCTTAGATCTGATGGTGTAAGGGGATAGTAAGCCCATCGGATCAAATATTTTGGATGCATCACTCAGCATGTTCTATAACAAACGTACTTGCAGGGAGGTTAGTCCGGGATTGGACGCACCGAGGGTGGCTGGAAGTTTCCCGAACTTACCGAGCGAAGCGAGGTGAGTTCGGGAAACTTCCAGCCACCCGAGGTGCGTCCAATCCCGGACTCACCGAACCTGCAAGTACGTTTGGTTTTTATCCCATACACTGAGCCATACACACATTTGTAGTTCTTCGCGATATATTCGTCGATGTTTTGTGAACATTTTCCCGGCCAAAAAAATCACTGGGCAAGAAAATACTTCTTTATCTGCGTCTACATTACCTTTACTGCATTTTTTCTTTGGTTTTTCTTCAGTCTCAGTATGTTAGTCACCGAAAAAAGTTCTTTAAAGTTTAGGTTTATCGGCTAAATCTTGTCCGCCATATTTGTTATTGTTATTGCAACGTGAGCAGTTTAGCGGGTGAGCTCGGGCGAAAAGCAGGTGAGTTCGGCAAAAAGCAAGTGAGCTCGACGACAAGCTCACCTGCTCTAAACCAATCAGAAAGCCGCTTTTAACACAGGTATGGGATAACTCTTGGTCTCGCATTCGTGCAAAAGGAACTGATTCTACGGGATGTGGAATTCAAAGCAGTCCGTTAAAGTGTTCCAGCAGATTCCCAATGCTTTAAGTGGCTCTCTCTCACGGAAATCAATCAACGCGTTAGGTGCTCTATCTTTCTCTTCAACGTGACTGGGGACGTCCTCCGTATTACTGGACCACTTTGTCAAATTAAACGCAGCACGATGCATTAACTCTGTCAGTTCTTTTTGCAACTTCACAGCTTCTTCTTTGTCGTCGGCTCCTGTCAGACAATCACCAACATACATATCATCCATGACCCTCTTTGCAGCTTCAGGAAACTCTAACATGAACCTTTCCGCATGATTCTGAACTGTAGCAATTGCAAGGAATGGGCTGCAGTTGACTCCGAACGCAACTCGCGTCATCCGGTATATCGTTGGGGAACCATCTATTTGCATATCTCTCCAGACATAGCGATGAACATCGCGATCCTTTTCTGCAAGCTTTATCTGAAGGAACATTTTCTCAATATCAGCCATCAGTCCAATTTTATGAGTACGAAAGCGTAACAACACCGAGACCAGATTAGGCTGTAGTGCGGGACCAGGTAAAACATAATCATTAAGCGAAACACCGTCCTCTTCACGAGCTGAGGCATCAAATACAACACGACATTTAGGTGTTTTCTTGTCATCATGAAAAACAGCATGATGTGGCAGATATCGTACCAACTTAATATCATTGTCATGTGCTTTGGTATCTTTGACTTCTTCAGCAAATCCTCTCTCATGATTTTGGTTGATTGAGCTCTTGTAAGCTTCAGCTCTTATCGAATTTCTGAGCAGTTGTTTCTCTACACTTTCTAGTCGCTTGACAGCCTTGTTGTAATTATCACAAAGCTCAGGATGATTTTCTTTCCATGGTAAGGATACTTCGTACCGTTGGCCATCAAATTTCAATTCTCATTTAACATTTAAACTGGCAAACAGCATCATTCTCTTCGAGCGATAGTTTAGTTCCCTCATCAACAATACCGATTGCATCTAACTCCCAAAAGCTCTTAAGAATGTTCTCGACAGGATCAGGACGAACACAGGTAAACATTGCAGTGGTGTTACTAGTGGATCGACCAGTTAAAGGTCCTGATACAATCCAACCAAGCGTGGAATTTACAGCTGTAAGTGTGTCTGGTTTTGAACCTTTTATGCATTCACCATTCACGAATGAGAAGTAATAATCTGCACCTATCAGAATGTCCACTTCGGCCGAGCCTCTCGGGTAAACGTCGATGAATATGAGATTAGCAAGATGTGGATTTGCTTCCATGTTCAAGGCGACTGGCTCCAAGGGTTGACAAATCGTGTCGACAGTGAGAGCTTTCATCTCAACAGGGCAGGAAACTGAAATTCGTGCTGGGCCGAGTGATATATTGACCCTTTTCATCCTCTTTGTTTGGGTTTAGTTTCGCCAAATGTTGACACATTGAAAGTCTCTGTAGGACCGCTAAGATCAAGTCTATCAGCCAACTTCTTTGTGATGTAGGATCTTTGGCTCCCAGAATCCAGCAACGCTCGGACGGGTACGGTTTGGTCATCCACAATCAAATTTGCCTTCGTAGTCTGAAGCAACACCTGTGTGGATTCATCTCGTTTGGATGCAGCAAAGCTGTTATATGTACCCACTGCTGCTTTCGAGCGATGCAATAGTCGATGATGGCGTTCTTTGCAGTCTTCGACCCCACACTTCGGTTGTCGGCACACTTATGAGTAGTGGTTGCTATTGGTAGATCTAAGACAATTGAAACACAGCCGAGCTTCTTTGACTTGCCTCCATCTCTCTTCCACAGTTTGCGCATCAAACCTTGGGCATTCTGGAGTACCATGTCCAACGGTCTTACATAAATCACATGTCTTGGTAGTGTTCATTCCTTGGCTGACCTCAGTTAAAAGGGCAGCTGCTGTAGAGAGCAGGGATTCTTCAGCGGACTTATTCAGTTTTTTACCCTGATAACTATTGGTTTGTTTCATTCCCCCTTTTGGAGAAACACCATTATTCCCCATGGCACTTCTTTGTCCAGCCTGTTTGAGACCACCTGCAAATTTAGGAATTTAAAAAACAGGTCTAAATCAACTTTCTCGTCATCCATATCAGATATCTCCAATTCCGATTTCTCACATATCTCAGGAGGGAGTTTCATTTCGAATACTGGGAGGAGTATACAGGCATGATTTTTTGGGCATTCACTCAATCCTTCTAGTGCTCTGATTCTATTCTTTAGAGTGTCATGTAATTCACGGAGTGATGCTGCCTCTGCATCTGCTCTAGGTTCAAACTTTATAATTGACTTAACTAATGACAAAATAAGAAGTCGCTTTCTGCCAAATCGATGCTTAAGAGTGTCAACAGCATGGTTATAATTTGCCCCAGTAACTTCAAACCCATCTATGGTTTGATATGCAACACCTCCCAAAACGGCTACATTATCCATGACAAACTGCAAAGAATGACGATAGTACCCACAGTTTCCTGCAACTTATCCTAGTTATCCAATATATAGTAAATTAAATATGCCTTCGCCCATTTAGTACTACCAAATTGTCAATTTCGACATACTAAAACGCTGTTTTCTGACCATCAGAATTCTGTCAAATCTTCCCCCAAAGGCCAGGAAATGGCATTTCAGAGGCTCTAGATTTAAAAATTTCCTCGGGCCTTTGGCCCTCGCTTTCAGCCCCCCAATCAAAAAGAGCTTCCTACGGCCCTGAAACGCTATGGAAACGGCACCGTGTGGATTAATAGTTAGGATGAGGGGTCAAAAAATTTTCAATAAAAAAAATAGGGGGTCATAATTTTTTATCAACTTTTGTCTTGGGGGTTCCAAGTTTTCGCATGGAATTAGACATCAGTTCCTCCGGCCCACCCCCCAGCTAAAAAATGAATGCCCCCTTATAATTGTTACACGTAGCAAGACGTGTCGCAAACAAGATGAATTCTGATAAAAGTCGCGTTTCCATGACAACTATGACAAATAATGGTAACAATAAACTGATAGCCGAAAATATCGCAGTTTTTCGAGTTTTTTTCAAAAATAATAATCAGTTACGTTAGTGTCGAGAAACATTTCTGGGAAGTTTAAAAAAAATCTGTCGACTCAATTCTTTAGAATTAGATTTCGACTTTTTTGACAGATTCTGTCGACAATTTTTTTTTTATTTTTCCATCATGTAATCTTGAAGTATGTATCTACTCATGTACAAATTTTCAGGGTACCTTACCGCGAACTCGTTTTGGAAATAATCACGGTTTTATTTCGCGCGGCTAAAGTTTTTCACACTCTGCAAGATCAATGAATTGACTAGCTTGCGAACAGGCTCTCAAGCTGAATTGAGAGCCTGCATCGATGACTAGAAAATCTGCTAGAAATGTTTTCAAATATGGCGGCTCATTGCTCGAGAAGAACGTGTGATAGAAAGACGATTGTGATTGGTTTATATATAATGATATGCGAAAGCGTCAGCGTCAGGTAGCGCAGGCGATAGTCTGGCACGGGTAATACCGATGTTTCTCAATTGAGAACATATGGGTAATACCCGTTGAGGTGTAGGCTAAACGGGTGTGACTGAACACTTAACATAATTTCAAAAAAGTAAATACTGACAAAGTTATAGCATCCAAAATGTGACGTTGATTGCATTGCAAAAAACTTCGTCGTTGTTTTTTGATCAGTATAAAGTTTAATTTTAACTTGAAACTTTCAGTAGAAATCTGTGTTGATATTAGCTTATGTCTTAATAACTGAGGATGAGAATATTATTTAGGGTAAATTTCGTTATGCATGCATGCATGTGCTTGATATAGGTTTTCGGCGGATTCTGAGATTCAACTATATACTTCCGTTAAATCGCAGGCACCCGTCACCCGTGGCTTGCTTTCTCGAAAGCCGCGTCTATACTCCGCAAGTTAATTAGTGTGATATTGGGTTACTAGGAGTTCAAGTGAATTTTTATTTTGTTGTTATAGTTATACGCTAGTTTAGCCCGGAAGTCGTTCAAAGCAAGTCGAATTGCTTCAGTTTGATTTCGATGCCAGTTCAATTTCACAATATTTGAGCAGCTGTAATAGCCATATCCAACACGTAGTTTCATGTCATTTCAAATTTTTGTTGCATCTTTTCAATAAGTTACGTCTGAAAATGAAGTCCGAAACGGTTATGATTTCTATTGTCTTTGTATTTGACTGATGCTACTGGTAAATTTTTGCGATGTTCGATGTGGAACATTCACTAAATAATATGTGAAGACAGACAAGTATACATGAAAATAGAAGTCAGGGAAGCCTATCAACTTTCACTGACATACTTACAGTATAATGTCTTATATATCAATTGCTTAACTTCGTTTTTCTCAGATACTTATATATATAAGGAAACACAAAGGACAAGCACAATTAATAATAATAACTATTTATGTGTCGTCGATGAAGTTCATTCCGGTCATGATCATATCCTTCCAGTGTGTGCTTTTTTCAGGTAGTTTACTAACGATGAGTTTAAATGTGTATCAAACCCGCTGCGCTAGACTATAAAATTCTTCTAAACCTTTTTATATAAAGCATACAAAAAATATACATCAACAATAATTAACACAAAAATATCTTGAAAACCGTCGAAGTTTTTTTATATAAAGCACATATAGTGGGCACAATTCTTTAACAAACTCACTAAAATAAGAAGTGCCGCGTGCATTTTTCGTGGTCGCATAACTGGTATTGCCACAAACTCGTGTGAAACACAATGAATATTCGCTTCCTCAGTGTGTGCTTCGTCAACTGATATGTTCACTCTATCTATTTTCGCCATGTTCGCGTCATTTTGAAAAAGGGTGTAAGGGCACTGATCTTAGTTGCTCCTTCGAAAGATATCTCCAGGCAGGCCATGTAGAAAAACACTGTATAGGACGTCGGCTGGAAATCATATCCGTGAGCAATTCGGTTTACCAGTCCGACGCTCTACCAACTGATCCACAAAGTCAAGGGTCAGGGTCGGGTAAAATTAATAATTTATCTTTGCCTGAGCTTTCCATCCTACGGAAAGCCAGAGTCAACAACTATAGCATGCAACCCAACAACAGAAGCAAGTTAGATTGAAATTTGTTGCCACAGCTCACTGAATGTGGTCACATGTCTGTGAGGCTGCATGTATGGTCGCTTTCTAAAACTTGGGATTGTGAGATTATTAGTGCAGTTTTAGGACAATATATTATTGTGTGTCAAGTTGTAGGTTGATCATATTTTGTGCTGACAGTGTGAATTCCTTGTACGAATTAGCTTGACTGAACATTTAACATAAGTTCAAAAAAGTAAATACTGACAAAGTTATATCATCAAAAATGTGACGTTGATTGCATTGCAAAAAACTTCGTCGTTGTTTTTTGATCAGTATAAAAAGTTTAATTTTATCTTGAAACTTTCAGTAGAAATATGTGTTGATATTAGTTTATGTCTTAATAACTCAGGATGAGAATATTATTTAGGGTAAATTTCGTTATGCATGCATGCATGTGCTTGATATAGGTTTTCGGCGGATTCTGAGATTCAACTATATACTTCCGTTAAATCGCAGGCACCCGTCACCCGTGACTTGCTCTCTCGAAAGCCGCGTCTACTCCGCAAGTTAATTAGTGTGATATTGGGTTACTAGGAGTTCGAGTGAATTTTTATTTTGTTGTTATAGTTATACGCTAGTTTAGCCCGGAAGTCGTTCAAAGCAAGTCGAATTGCTTCAGTTTGATTTCGATGCCAGTTCAATTTCATAATATTTGAGCAGCTGTAATAGCCATATCCAACACGTAGTTTCATGTCATTTCAAATTTTTGTTACGTCGTTTGAATAAGTTACGTCTGAAAATGAAGTCCGAAACGGTTTTGATTTCTGTTGTCTTTGTGTTTGACTGATGTTACTGGTAAAATTTTGCGATGTTCGGTGTGGAACATTCACTATATACTAATATGTGAAGACAGACAAGTATACATGAAAATAGAAGTCAGGGAAGCCTATCAACTTTCACTGACATACTTATAATGTTTTATATTTGAAGTGCTTAACTTTGTTTTTCTCAGATACCTATATATAAGGAAACACGAAGGACAAATCCAATTAATAAATAATAACTATTTATGGGTCGTCGATGAAGTTCATTCCGGTCATGATCATATCCTTCCAGTGTGTGCTTATTTCAAGTAGTTTAGCGCTTAATGATATACAAACTGGTAGTCAAGTAGTCAAGGTGCGACTTAATTGTTACATTTGTGAAGTAAAAATACAATTTCAATCCGAATAGAACTTTTTCTCCAAGTGTTTATAATTGAATCAATTTAGTTTTAAAGCAAGTAAACAAGAGTGTCAACGGAAAGTACATATCGGCTTGTATTTAATGATCAAATATTCAATAGTTGCGATGTAACATTTATTAAATAGAGTCTAAATTTGAAGTAAATTTCTGTTTCTCCATAATTTGCATACATGCATGTGTACTGCAAGAGTGTTGGGGGAAACCAAGCTGGCTCGTATCTAATTATCAAATATTTGAGCTGCAAAATATCCTTGAAACGAATAGTCGATTTATGTTACATACAAAAGCGAAAGATAGATTTTTGTTACACAAATCAGTCAGCGGTTAGTCGGGACCTTCCAACACAATAATCAACATAGGAAGAAAATGTCATTGATTAATTTTAAATTAAATTCTTGAAAGTCAAGTTCAGTCTTTTCATGAGTTTCATTAATTTGGACTGTTGTGCCCGAACGCACATTCGGACAAACAATTTCTATTGTTCGTTAGTCCTCTATGTGTGGTATTAATAAGACCCCAAGCACCTGTGACCTTTTTTTAGCCAGCAATTAAGAATGCGTCTTCTTCGAAAGTTAATTACGGTGACATTGGGTTAGCAGTTCCAGTGCGAATTCAATAATCTTTCTTTCGGTGATATTATACGCCAGTATATCCTTGAAGTTGTTCAAAGCAAGTAAATTGCTTAAATGGGTTCATATTGGTTTCCTAAATGGGGAGCAAGTTGTTCAAAAACCTTGTTACGTTATCCATGTATTCACTGGATAGCGTCACGTCCTTATCCAACAGCGACGAAGCAGCGGAAACAATGTACCGCGAATAAAGAGAGTAATTCTTAAATGATTTTTACGAGATTTGAATACTAGTTATCATCATCATTAATAATAATCAATCGAATCGCTTGTCCATGCTTCCAAAAACTGGCTTCAATTAATACCATATTATTTAGCGGAAAGGTATCACTGCCAAGGTTTTCGCTTGCATCAAATTAAAATTCTTTAAGTCGGATACATTTCCTCCTGCGCTATATACAGCCCCGCGAGAATGTATATCTTACAATAAGCAAGAACCCTCGGTATATAAATCGAAATTATTTAAGTTGCGATGTCTTCATAATGGAAATATATGTTTATTTATTGACAATATATACCAGATAAGGAGGCGAAAGGTAGGATACTTAATTAAGTCGGCTGGAAATTATTTATTTATCAAATATTCGAGGTGCAATGATGCATTCCCGAAGTAATTATACGGTCATAATTTGAACTACTTTTATTCCTCATAATTTGTATCATTGATCCATTTGCATGAATGAAAAACAAACAATGGCGTGAGTCCGATAATTATAAATCGGAGAACATTTCCTAAAAAATTAGCCAATAAGAAAAAGACGTGTAAGCTATCAAAGAGACAATCGTACGTATTTTGTCTTAACCTTATGAAACGTGATAGCCGGCGTGGCAGGCTCATTGAATACGCACTGCAACAATCTAAAAAAAAAATTGGTATTTCACGGCCGTGAGAGGACGCGAAAATCCTGTTGGCTAAAATATTAATTATACGCCAAAACACGCATAAATTATAGAACCTTCTGTGGAACAATGTTTATACGCTTTCAATAAAAGTTATTAAAAGCGTATATATTTTGAAAGAGTACTGTGAATTTGGGTTTAAAACTAAAAACTGCATGAACAGCTGCAAATCGTTGAGATGTTTTGGCCGGTTTTCTCCTTGGATATCTGCCCTGACAAGTCGAGGAGCATTGATACATATTACCAATGCACGTGTTGGTATTTCTCTAAATAATACAGTACTAGTAGCTAGTATGTCCGATCAATTTGAAATACTGCATGATTGACAAATTATGTATCATATTAAAGTTTGGCATACACTATACATGTCAGTCGCTTTAAGTATTTATAAAACTTACTACTCTACATACAAATATTGCATTTATGTTATTTTTAAACTGTGGAGATTCCATACTTTATTTGTTTAGAGTTTTACAGCAGACTACAAACTATACAGTGCAATTTAGCTTGTATTGCGATATATTTTTAGACTTTGTCATTGAAAAATTTGTAAACGTTCATACCGTTGAGCCGTTGCAATTTTGAAACATATACTCGCTCATAGCTGGTCATATTTTGTTAGATTGTGAAATTTATTGTGATGTTTGGACCTAAGATGGTATTGTCTTCATTTTGATATAAATTTTGATATAATAATATTAACACGTAAATTATTGCTCGAATTATTGTATTTTTGAGTCTACTATTTAGACCATTCTGACACTAGTCATATAAAAATAGTCAGTGTTGAGTAACAGCATTCAAACTGTTTATCAAGACAAAATGTTTTGTTCTAGTGAATTATATCACATACTAATGTACCAAACCGACGTCGCCGGTGTAAATTCTGTTTTATCTACAGTACTTTAAACTTTACGTAATTTAAACTGCCAATTTTTTAAAAGTTTGAATTCTCGAGCTACTCTCTATGAACTACAACAGTTAAATAAAGTATATTAGTTACACTCACACTGCAATGACTGCATCACGCACACGAATTTCAGAGAATATGATTGGTTGGATTGGAAATAAATTATCATAGCAATTAGTGGGCGGTGATCAAATTTCCTTGAGATTATTGCAGTCTCTTCTTTCAATGAGCCTGCATATGCCACACAGGCTAGAAACGTGATGGATTTGGATGCATTTTAGTTTTTAAATATTTGAGTTGTTATAATTACCATAGTCAACATACGTATAGTTTCATGTCATTTCAAATTTTCGTACATATTTTAAGTAAATTGTGACTGTAAATGAAGTTTGAAACGTACGGTTTTCATTCTTATTGTATTTGTATTTGATTGATGCTAGATACATATTTTGCAAAGTTCGATGAGACAGGTGTACATGGAAATTGAAATGCAATTTGTCTGTGATATATGCCTGTCAACTTTAACTGACATAAATTCTCAAGGGAAGATTTTTGTGAAATAAATCAGTCGGCGGTTAGCCCAGTAAAACCCCTTACAAACACCACCCAAGTAACCTTCCAAGAAATGATCAAATAATCACCATAGGAATAAATTGTCATTGATTAATTTTACAAGCCAGTCTTGAAGGTCAAGTTCTCTTCATGAATTGAAGTTTCATTAATTTGGACAGTTGTGCACGAACACATATTAAGGGAAACAATTTCTATTGTTCATTACCTTCATGTGTGGTATTAATCTAGCGTGTTTATATTCTGCAATATCTCAATTTAAAATCACGCGATTTTTACACCCAACCGTTTTGCATTATGATTTTTCATTAAGAGACCAAACTGCATAGATCGGCATCGAGGACTACAGCCGGCCCCGCCGTAAAATTGGGCATCCTATGGTTCAACTGGACAATGGCAGTTATTTTAAGCAGCAAAGTGGGGGTAAAAACAGCTTCTTTCATTGGGGATATATTTAACACCCAAAACAGGGGTTAATTTTGGCCTCAAAAAGTGAACCCCTCTAGTCTGATTTTTCAAAACCCGCTTTTGGAGTTAAATCAACCCCTTAAAAATAACACTATATATAATTGCATCCGAAGTATGATGCTGACTGTATTGCAAAATCTTTCTCGTTGTGTATGATATAAACTTGAAACATCACAATTCAGAGCAATCTGTTTTGATATATTTGTTTATATAAACCTCAATTACTCAGAAAGACATTATCATTGAGGGTGTGTTTGCATTGAATCAAGGAATGTCTTTTGGGTAAAATTCGTTCCGTTTAATTAGAAGCGCAGGCACCCGTAACTTGTTTTCCCGGCAGCACTTAAGATTGCGCGTCCTCTCCAAAAGTATAATTGCTGTGATATTGAGTTAGTATGGTGTCATGTGATATTGGGTTATTGTTTGGAGGGCCCTACTGAAAATCGTTTTTGCGATGTAGGGTCCGTGGGTAAATACTGTTAAAATGTTACAATATACACTCGTTTACACCCCTTTTTAAAATTACTTGACCTAAACGACAATAGTGTTGATTCAAATGTCAGTTTTACTTCACGCGAGGTGCTAAAATTAGCAAGCGTAAATAAAAAAAACCCTTTTAAACCGCAGTTTTCGGTAGTTAAATACAAAATAATTTAATATTGAACCAAAATTAGCTTGATATAGAAACTAATAGAACAACAAACCATCGTATCCCGAATGACTTTTAAAAGATTTGAAAAAGAACCATTTAACGATGAGTTTAAATGTGTATCAAACCCGCAGCGCTAGACTATAAGAATAATATTTTCTATAATTTGCACCTTAATTGCGACCGTGTGACACAAAAGTGACCGATATATCAACCGTAATTTTGAAAACGGGTGTAACGAACTGATCTTAGTTGCTACTCTGAGGATGCTCAGAGTTACGTTTAAGAATTTCTATAAATAGCGAAACTATAAAACAAGTAAAAAAAACTACGTTTTTAGGGATTGTTATAGATGAATTTTTATCATGGTGCGATCATATAGATCTTATTTAAAAAAAAAATTATCAAATGTACATGCAGCTATTATATCCAGAATACGACATTTTACAAACCTAAATTCCTTAAAACTGATCTATTACGCATTGGTCTATCCATATCTTATATACTGTAATTTAGTTTGGGGTAACGCTTACAAATCCCGCATTCAAAAATTAGTAAGTACCCAGAAAAAGATAGTAAGATTAATGACCTTCAAATCCTATTTTGACCATACTGAACCAATTTTTAATGACCTTAAAATACTAAACTTGTATAAATTGAATGATTTCTTAACAAGTCTATTTATGTTCCGATATTTTCATCTACACAATCTTCCAGAAATTTTTGATCAATATTTTTTAACTAACAAAGAAATCCATAATTACAACACAAGAAACGCATCATTGCTTCACAAAAATTGTACTAGAACAAATTATAAAAAACACACGCTCGGTAATAACGGCATCGATGTGTGGAATAATCTTCCGACACAATATAAGCAAATTAGATCTCTTCCAATATTTAAATCTACAATGAAAATATATTTTCTTCTGTCAAATTTAAATAAGTAGAATTCTTGGCACAAAGCGAAAAGCCAAATAGTTGTTATAGTCTGATATATCTTTTCCGCACTTTCCTTATTGTAAATATATCACCGTAATTCCTTTGAAAACAATTGGACTGGTATTAACTTTTAATATTATATTATTTGAATTGTAACTAGGGATCTTAAACAAAAGCCTTATAGTTTCTAGAAGGTTCCTAGCCCTACTATTGTAAATATTTTCGATTTAAATTGTTAATTTTATAAACTGATTTGGGCGAATATATTAAATAAATAAAATAAATAAAATAAATTGCTACTACAGCTCATCGACCGTGGCCGCATGTCTGTGAGGCTGTCTGATCGATTTTTAAAATCGGGACTGTTAGGTTATTGCATGCAATTTCAGAACAATATTATTACGTGTTTGAATTTCTATATAACGCATAGGTTGATCATAATTTGTGCAGGCATGCACTGGGAACTCTTTGTAGTATTCAGTATAGCAATCTGTGTTGATACTAGTTGATGCCTTATAAATAACTTAGGATGCAATATTAATTTTATTTATGGTGTGTTTTGTTATGCAAGCATGGTGTAGTTAGCGGCTGTTTCTGACAATCAACTTCTTACATTAAATTAAGGTGTGTAATTTCGGTAAGCTTCTTTCATTTTAATTAAAAGCGCATGCACCCATGACCTGTTTTCTCTCCAGCACATAAGAATGCATCTTGTCCAAGTAGTCCAACAGTTAATTACTGCGATATTGGGTTGGCAGTTCCAGTCAGAATTCAAAAATCTTCAATTTGGTGATATAATACGCGAGTATACAGTAGCCCTGGAATCGTTTAAAGCAAGTCAAATTTCTTAAATTAACTCAAATTGGTTGCTCGAATAGTGGGCAAGTTGTTCAAAAACCTGGCTATACGCTCTCCTGCATGCATTCACCGGATAGCGTCCTATATCGGACAGCGACGGAAACCGGCTTGAAAGAATATTCGAGTCATTCGTTCAACAATGGTATTTTCGAAGACTTACGAATGCGTCTTGTAAGATAATTAATTACTGTGATATTGGGTTAGCAGTTTCTGATGCGTACAGGTCAAGGATAAGCTTATAAAACGACGCTCTGAATGAACTCCACCATGCAGTTGGATACGAGCTGGCTCCTGAGCAAGAACAAGAGTTCGAAATTGTTATTTAAAAGTAAGTTGTTTTTATTTATATTATACATAGTGCTTTCTTATCTCACTTATCACCTCTTGCCTGACATCTAGGGAGAACAGTTTAGGTAGAATTGACTTATCTATGCAGTATGATTAAGGTCAGTTTAGGTAGGTAGTTATCCCTTTGACAAGTAACATTGTCTGAGATTATACTGCAGAACAAAACAAAAGTCTGGATCGTTTACATGATTGACGATGTGACTAGCGTGCTCATGTCTTATTACCTGAAACGTGTTGTACTGCTGTCGTCAGGAGCAATCACAGCCGCGTGCATGTCCAAAATTTCAAATCCATATACGGTATCCCTCGCCCACACTTTCCACTGAATTGTTTCAACATGGAGCACTTTAATAACGCCAACACGGAACGCTGGTTCGTGTTGCTCGCGTCGTATTAGCCACGGCAACACGATAATTGTTTTCTTAGTTTTTTTTGTTCAAAACGGCAAAAATGAATGAGTATCTTACACTTAGGGACCGGTCATTATTTATGGCGGGGGGTGGCACCGAAGAGAAAAGGGTTGGGTAAACAAAATTTTGAGTAACTAAAAGGTTGGGTAAATGAAAAACAAAACAACTCAAGGGTTGGGTAATAAAAACTTATTGTCATTTCCAAAGCATGACTCACTTAAATATTTGAGACTGAAAAGCAATGTCAACAGTCATATGTCAATACAATATGTGAATCAATCAGAGTCACTATCTTGATCATTTTCCGATTTGTTTGGAGACAAATGGTGTCTCCAAAGAAAGTACATGTACATACAATATGAAAGATTAGTTATCAAACTTGTGTCACAGAAGTGGTAAAGGACATGTGTGACAACTGAATGGTATTCTTTTGTAAAGGTTTTGGCCAGGTGTGGGTATTTATTTTTTAATTGCTATTTGAGGTTGGGTAATCAAACTTTTTGCTTTTTAATAGTTGGGTCAGCAAAATTTTTACCAGGAAAAACATTTCTCTTCGGTGCCACCCCCCACAATAAATAATGACCGGTCCCTTATAACCACAGAACTATCGATTTCTAACATATATAAAGTAGATACGTTATTTCGTTTTGTATGCATGGGCTTAATATAATGCAAAATTCAACACGAAACGCTTCGTATAAAGAGTTTTAAATGTTCGTAGAAATTGACCGCGTTTTGCCGATAAACTCTTCAACTTATTATTACTCGTACTTTGTAATGCAAAAAATGTAAATCTTAGAGGTTGCTCCTGAAAATAATTGTCTTCTTTCTTTTATAAAAATTAAAACAAGTTAACTTTCGCATAGAATGAAAAGGAGTCAGAGCTGTACATGCATGTCAGGCCTTCAGGCGAAATGTCCGAAAACTAGACAGCAAAGTCATATATAAACAGTAACAAAAAAAACCCAACTTACTCTGTACTTTAGGATTTCTCACATCTTCTTTAAAATTTGAAACAGGTGATTTACAACTTATTGTGTAATAAGATATCCAAGCTTTCTGTCATACATTGTTTTTTTTTTAATATCTCCTTGCTTCACTCCTGGCAAACAGCTATATATTTGAGCTCATTGAGATGACCACGCATGCATAGCCATGCGCCCGCGACCATTGATGAACTTTAGACTTTGCTAATGCTTTTCATTTCCCGGGTGTAAATAGCTGAGCGGAATTAGTACCCTCGCCATGGACTTCGCCCTACGCGCTACGCGCGTGGCTCAATAATTACAGAACGATTTCTGTTTTACCTGCGTTTTTAAAGTTTTAGAAAGAATTATTTATAATATAATGATCAATTAGCTACAAAGATAAATATAACATTTTGTGTAGCCAGGAATGTGGTTTCATAAACGGCCATTCTACAGCAATTGATGGCCAATTATATGACAAACAATCTACCTCAATTGATGATAGGAAATTTACGATTGGGATATTTTTAGACCTTTCAAAAGCTTTTGATACGGTAAACCATGAGATTCTGTTTACTAAACTATAGAACAGGACGGTTTTCTTGGATATGTTCTAGACTGGATAAAAAGTTACTTCAATATAATAGGAATCACTTCGTACATGCAATACAATAAATTATGTTCTCAGCTAAAGGCAATAAGCTGTTTTTCTTGCTTTATATAAACGATATATGTAATATTTCTAAAACACTAAAATTTATTCTGTTTTCTGGTGATACTGATGTCTTTTATTCACATGAAATCTTGATTTACTGATCAAATCTCTGAATATTGAAATTTGAAAATTATCGGCTTGGCTAAAATTTAATAATCTGCATGCATGACTTGAAATTGGTCAAAACTAAATCATATTATTCAAACCTATAGAACAAACGTCAATGTAGGCCTATATATAACTACTGAGATATTTAATGATGGTCATATGTTACATCAGGTTTAGGAAATGACATTTTGGGGAGTTGTGTTGGATGAAAACCTCTCATTGAAATCACATATTTCGCACATATCAGTCATTACAAGTAATTAAAAATCTCCAAATATCTATATATAGAGGCAATTTCTAGATGCAGTTTCTATCTAAGTCTTAAATCATCCCTAAAAACCTTATTTTAATATGCTTTGGTCTATTCTAATCTTCGAATCGTTATTGCAATTTGGCTTGGGCATCTTCCAACCCATCAAATCTATATCGACTCGTTATATCTTCCAGAAACGCATTGTTAGAAAATTAATTAAGCAAATGTAAATTTGATTCTCACCGACACCGATCGTTTGTTTAATTAAGTAACTCCAACTGTTAAAGTTCCATGAAATTTGTAAACAGAAATTGGGCAATTCATTTCTTTCATGGAAAAATAATATTCTCCCTGATAACTTTAATCATACGTTTCTTTGTAAAGACCAAATGCCTGGTCTTAAAATAAGGAGTGTCATTCAGAGCTCTTCGAATTCTATTTTGCAGAACTAGTCTTTAATTCATGCATATTAAGACAATATTCTGTGCGATTTCAAGGACCAAAATAATTTAATTCTTTACTTGTCTGCAAAGTTTTAAGTGTAAATTGAAATAATTTCTTTGGTCCAATTATGGATAAAATGCGTATCTAATTGATCCAGAACTCTTTTGAGTTATAGTGAATGCATGCTAAATAACTAAATGATGTATTAATTGATTTGCTTATTTTCTGTTGACTTGCATACCTACATATATATTATAAGGCAATCTGCCGGAATTCAAAATAGCTATCTTTATAGTTTCTATTTTGGACGTCTTCGCCATGCATGCACTTATCTGTAAATTACGATTTGATGATTTAATATGTATAGTGGTAGAAAAAATTCAACAAGACGCTCTATTGAGCGTCTCAACAAGACGCTCTATTGAGATTAAGGTTGCGGCCTTTTGTTTACGCGATTTTTTAGTTTTTGAAAGTAAATAAAACAGCCAATGAAAGTAAATTTTGAAAGATATGTAGACCAAATAACTCAAAATGTTATAGCGCTTCTAAATATTTGGAAAATTCAAACTAGGATCAAAGTTATCGGTCAGTGAAAATCGAACTGAAATCGCGTCGCGATGTCGTATTGCGCCCCGTGTACCTGGACCTTAAAACACAATACATTAATCGTAAAATGACTGAAATATGCAGGTTTACAAGCCCGACACCTAGCGGCGAAGTTCAATTTCCACATGCACAAGTATAGTGCCTATATATGTGATGAATCATGATCGCTGAAGTTGTGTTTCTGTATTGTTAGGCACTCGATCTGTTCTGCGCATCAGTTCTACTTATAATAAAGAGGGACACCCAGATATAAACACTGCCCAAATTTTGCGTCTTTCGAACTTTTTTGAATTGAAACGTAGAGCTTATATATTCATTTACAAGTATAGCGAACCAGAAAAGTGTTAGATATCAGTTCAGTATATCATATTTTACAAATATAGCAGTTCAAAACGTGAACAAAGTTAGCACATGCGCACAGGAGTGGACAGCATCTTTAAGCTAGGGCCGTAGAAAAAGGCATCCAAATAGACAGTACCTTGCGAATATTATTGTTGCTATTTGTGAAGGTTGCCGTTCCAATTTTGTGAAATTGAAAATTGTGAACTTTTGTCGCCTATTTCAAGCTTCCGGCCTTCCACATTTACTCACATAAGATGACTTTCAGTTTATAAAGTCAGGTTCATGGGAATTAAAACTTTTAAGTTTCATCAGAAAAATGAAAAAAATACGTACAAAATCGATGAAATTGATACTAAATATAAACACCCCGAGTAAACGGCCATCTTGAATGCGGCGCTTAATAGTAATGACGTAATTTTTGACAAAAATGACCTATAGGTCATAACAGTAGCCTTAAAAATATGGTAAAAGTAGCCTAAGTTTAAAATCATGGTAAAAGTAGATATATAACTACTTTGCCTTTGAATAAAAGTCCTCAAGTTCCAATTTAAAAGGTCGTATGCGAGTTCGTATATATTGACTAAAATGCTTTACCAAGCATTTTAATCAATATGAACTCATACGAGTCTTTTAAATTAGAACTTGAGGACTTTTTTCAAAGGCAAAGTAGTTATATATCCACTTTTACCATATTTTAAACTTAGGCTACTGTAAATTTTGTGATACCTTTCACGCTCTTTACCGACTTAATATATGTAGATGCAGGGACCGCGGAGAAATCTTTTGATTTGGGGGGGGGGGCTAGCGAACGCCGAAGGCGTGAGCGTTCTGGGGAGCGGGTCCAGGGGGTCAGAGCCCCAGAAATGCAATAAAAACTAGTTTCTCTTAAAAAGTTTCTTGAACGATTCTTAAGAAAGCCATTATATAAGGGTAAAATTTATTCCCTTAGTACATTTTCCTCATGAATAGATTTTTTCTTCGAACTTTAACGCCTTATTTAAGCGTAATTTAAATTGCATTTTCCTTACTTATCGTCTCTACCTTTCTTAGAAATGTTTTTTTTCTGGAAAGTGTTCAATAATAAAGGAATACCGAGTGGTTTTCCGTGCAGGATTGCGTGATCGATGCACGAGGGATGTCGCAAGACTTTCGGAAAGCGTAAAAATACTCGAGCCGCAGGCGAGTGTATTTTTACACTTTCGGAATGTCGAGCAACATCCCAAGTGCATGGATTACGCTATCCTGGTTGGAAAACTATTTGGTAATTGTTTTATAAAATAACTGCAGTGAAACTATGATATTTTGAAAATCTCGCGAAGGCATTTTAATTCCTCGTGCAGGATAGCCTGGTCCTGCACGGCTATTGACCAACCAAATTGCGTGTTTCACTGTAGTTATTATATAACCTGCATTTTTTCGTGAGAACTTTGTTGGGAGATAATTTAGGTTCCAAAGGCAAAGAATAATCAATCACTAGCACACAGTAAGTTAGAACGACGCTTAGCAGTTTTAGCGCCAACATTTTGTTTGGAACCGAAGCGAAACATGCGTATTCACTGTGTCTGAAGCAGATATGGAGTTTCAACCGTTATTTGAAACCGAGTGTGACACCTTGGATAATGTTAGGCTCCGAATTTTAAATAAAGTGGTCAAATGCGACTAACAACTCTTGACATTATTGCACAGCGTCGTGAAGGTTGAGACCTGTTGTTTGTAAAAGCTATATATGTTTAGCTGGTTGGAAATGGCCTCTATAATTCTGAAACACGCAAATCAGACATTTGATCTTTTTCTGGACTACGCAAAGAAAAGTGCTATCTGCGCTATATTAAAATCAGATATGTATGAAAAATTATTGGGGGGGGGGGCTAAAGCCCCCCCAGCTCCCCCTGCTCCGCGGTCCCTGAGATGTAGGTTATTTTGTGACTAACAATGTGCCCCAGCGACTATAATATATTCAATTCAATAAAAATTTAAAAGTACCCAACTGCAGGCGCTTCTTAATTTCCTTACCCTTGACAAAACAACAAAATTATATTTATACTGGTAAGGGGAAAAAATTCTACTGGTTTGTATTAGAAATTCCTACAAAGCTTCTGCAAAGCGTTTGTTCGTGCCGAGAAGTAATTGTCCAATTATACTGTAGCTGGTGATTTTCTAGTAGAGCTTGCAGTTGATATCAGAGTCCTGCAAAGCTTTATTCGCAATAGGCAATTCCCATTATTGACTAATTTTAAAACTATGCAAGGAAATGCAAATAAATTACCACAGCTAGAAAGAGCATAGGCTACTAAAATGAGTAAAATAACAAAGTTATAGCAATTTCCGCACGCAATACAAAAGTCAAAATATACAAAATTTAGTAAATTTGCGAACTTTGCAAGACTACATTTTTCCGCATGTTACAACATTTGGCAACCAAACTTTGCTATTTTACTAATTTTAGTACGCTCTTTCAGGTAATATAATTTTTTTGCAAAGATAAAAAATTAGTCTACAATGGGAATTGTCTATTAGCAATTAGTATAAACCTACTAGTAGGCTATCATACTTCGTGCGTTCTGATTGGCTACGCTACTACTACTAGTAGGCTATTAGTGCTATATTTCCAGTGGTGGCACCAGCAGTGAGGACATCCCCCCCCTAAAATATTTTTCAAACCAAGAATATTTATTAATGGCCTAATAAATAAATTAAAATTAACACACAACACTCACACAACATTCACACAAGATTATAACATGCACAAAATTACTTAGTGAATTTAATATCATGGCTATTGTGCCAATTATGTTGTTCTTGAACAACTGTCTGGGTTTTTGCTCTATTTGGTGCCCTTTTTTTAAAACGCATCCAGCATAACATTCCTAGTCACTTTTTGTCCAGTGAAGGGGGGGGAAAAAATTGAACATAAAGGGGGAAGGGCAAAAAATAGAATCTATGGAATAGTTTGTAAGATGCAATATCAAAAGAATAATGTATACATACAGTATACATACGTTGAACAGTAATGCCCAATATATTGAACCTAATCATCACCGAAGAATTTGTTTAAAGGGTCATGAACAGCTGCATTTACAAATGCAAGATTCAATTGACAGTTGTTGTCCTGCTTTTTAACACAGTGGACCTCTTTGGCATGTTCTTTTTCTGCAAGTTGTTGAAAGTCACTTCTGCCATCTCTTCAATATAATGCTTCCACCAGACACAAATGTATTTTTTTCAATTAGTAAAAGTAGGTCTGATGTGCGAGATTTTTGTTTGAGGGCCAACAACTTTTCAGGTATATAAAGTCTGAATTATCTACTTGACTACTTGGCTATCATTTTCAATATTTACAATATTCTATTCTTTACAGCTGCAAGTAAACTGAGTATGAGGGCAGGAATAATGGTTATGAAATTGACTTAGAGTCATTGAATTCAGAATTGGGGTGGGGCTATGAAATATGTTGCCTCAATAAGGGGAGGGATGAAATATTTTATTAGAAAAATAAGGGGTCATGAAAATTTTTTGCTTGGTATAGCATCTGGTCTCAATACTATTTTCTGGCTTTTACCCTTTATCTCATACATATCAGCACTAAAGTGCTCTGAACACAAACGACTACTTTTCGCAGGAACAGACTTCACTGGTGCATGTTTATCCATCTACTCAACCCATATGCTGTACAATTCTGGATGCTTCTTTGCACCAGGAATGCTTAAATATGTGAAGGAGAAATTTCAATAACAATACTGATGCTTTCATAAATACAAACAGGCCCACAAAATACACAGTACAGTAGGTAGGAAAAACGCACAAGGAACAATGGAAATATAATATTTGAATGAAACAATCTGCATGCAAAAACCTCAGAAAAGAAGCTATAGTCGAGAAAAGCTGGTGACACATGCAGGTGAACAAAACATGAACTACCGTTTGCTTTACATTGTCATTTGCAGAAAAAACTTCTCGAATGATATCTAAGCACAAAATAATATTTCCTTACCAGTGTGAATACCAATGTCTTTGTCAAAGGAGTTGTGACAACCATAAACCGAGCAATAACGCGGCATGTTGACAAATATAAAGTTGTGCATAGTTAATTACATGCACAGTGTAACGTTAGAAACAGAGGGTAAATAGTGGACGCGGAGCTCAAAATCCGCCATGTTTTTGCGGACACTTTTTGTTTGACGAGATATGGGAGCACGATCTCCATATATATATATATAGTAGAGTTCAGTGGCTGACACATACGGTTTAATTTTTTTTTTTTTTCCGTTTAAATGTCGAGATTTTGGTCGACTTTGTTTTTCGCCTTTTTTGAGCCGTTAATTAATCGAGTTTTTCGATTATATTTTAATCTAAATTTTTGAATATGTACACTAGATGATGGAAATGGTTTGCCTCTTTATTTTTCCAGATATTTTACAGATTTTAACGGCATTCGAGTTCTTTTGCGTGCATTTTTATTCTGCTTTTTAACGTAAACATTACTAGTTTAGTAACAATTCGGGAAGCCATTCTGTGCTTGAAATTTTGTACATTTTAAGCCTTGTTTCCTTTTTTTAATTAGCCAAATTTTGCTTGTATAACGACCCCTTACTATTATACTGTTTTACGACATGTTTTTTAACTTTTTAATTTTAAAACTGACAAATAATAGTATTTTCTCAAGTCATTCTTGGGAGTTCGCAACACTGAGTAGTTGTCAACAAGGCCGAGGCGAAATGTCCCCAAAGGCTTGGCCAAAGGAAGCCATTTAAACGCTCATTTCGTAGTAAAAAGTTATATTTTACATAAAATTCAAATTAAAAATTCAGTTTTTTTATGTGGTTTATACTAAAACAATTAGACAACTCAGCCTCGAATAGTCAACTCGGCTTCGCCTCGTTAACTATTCGCTCATAGACAACTCGGCTTCGTTGCCTAATTGTTAAATATTCACTTGAAATCCATGCGGTTTTATGTCATAGTTAAGGCAAAACAAAATTCAGCAAAATTCAAAAAACGGCTTTTGAAACAACACGAACAAGTTCCATACCGCCTTTAAGGCTGGACCATTTCCGCACTTTATGGTTTTCTCTTCCACTCTAAAATTATTTTGTATACCTACGAATCTACGATGCAAACTTCAGCATATTTTACCCTGTCTAACGCGATACTATCTTATACTCGGCAAGGATTTCTGGCACAAGAAGCATGCAGTTAAAAACTTTTTCTAGTATATTCGCTAATCAATGACCATGCAACTATAGTATGCTAACACAACCATAGCTGATAGCTACATTTTTAATTTTATAGAATTATATATTTTTTAATTACTTTTTCCAATGTTCACATGTATGACATGCAGGTTCTTGACCTGTTTGTAGAGACCACGTTTTTGACCAAAAGGAATTTTTCTTTTAGAATTTCTGAGATGGCAGAACGTGCATTCTTTGTTTTGATTGGTTTTTTTGTGTTACAAAATTACTGTTACGCGAATTTCTTTGAATCGCGGAAAATTAAGGAGACTACAGCTAGTGGTGGAAAGGGTAAGTTGTAATTGGCGAAATCTATGCATCATGCAGTAAAGATTTGGACGTATACCTATTCCATGCATGACAACCTTTCTTTACTCAAACCTTGCAGTCAAATTTTATGGTCGAGATTTGATTTCTTCAAGTATGCATGGCGCTTTGTTATAAAATTAGGGTGACAGTTTGGGGCACTATAGCTAACTTCTTTGAGTCATAGACGCACCCGTGACATTTGAAGAGCACAAAAAAAGCCGAACTGTTCGCTGCAGTATATTCTCTAGATAATAATTCAGAACCCTTTGAAGCTTAGCAAGCACACCAGTTTAACATGTCAAACTCTATATATCAACAAAAATTTCACACCAGAAATGTGACGGAAAGTAACAAACCTGTAGTCACCATTTTGTAAAGATACGACGTTGCCGCTAAACATAAAACAGTTTATATTAATTTGGAATTACGTGTATCTCAAAGCGAAAATTATATAAACTATAGATAAAATGCTAAATGCGAATTTTCATTTGTAAGAATATTCTTAAAAAATCATCGTGTTACCATGACAACTACTTTAGATACTTCATGGTCGAAAAATACAATGGTTTTGTCAGCAAGGCGAGGGTTTCTGCATGCATGTATTTTCTAGTATAATAAATTAACTTGAAATATAGAGTATTGAAAAAGGCAGATGCCAGGGTTTTGCTACCTGAGATCCGCTGCAAGTACTGTCGAGTGTCGACTCATTGTTGCACACAAATAACGGTGTAAGATTAATTCAAAATCTACATATTCACTGATGAAATTGCAACTTATAACAAAATAAAGAGTTATTAATGTTAATTTGAATACAAATAACCCACTCCACAACAACAAAAAAGAATTGGTCGAAAAATTGATATACGGAATGACAATCATACGTCTTTATGGGCAATTTTTTAGAACTCAAGCGCTTATACTATCAATGTGTATGTTACAACATACGAAACAAAAGAACAGTTGAAAAAAGCAGATTTTGTGAAGATTATAATAAAACGCTTGCAGAGCTTGGCTTTATTTTTCAGGCTGGTATCTAGTTATGTTTATTCTCTTCAGTGTGGTCAAATTCACCATCTTCGTGTTCGTGTTTTTTCATGCTTCCTGCGTTTTCAAAATATTATTTTTAACTTTCTATAGAACTATAATTCTTTACTCCTAAAACGACCCTCAAAGTCTTTTGATTATTAACTTATCGTTACATTTTATCTCTAGGAGACAACAGGATATTCTGCGATCACCCAGATTGCATTTGTTATCATATTAATGATGAGTGTCCAGAAGGATACAAGGAATGTTCCGAAAGCCATTATTGCAGTTTGGATTATAACAAGCCTTGTTGCGTTGGTATGTATTTGTGATACATTAGTGTGTTGACATTAAGTGTTTTGTTAAGACCCATTTCCACTCAGGAAAATTTTCCTGGAAAAAGAATTTTGTAAAATGTGATTGGCCGACACAAATTTTTCTTTGGAAAAAATTTTGAAGTTGAAAATTTTCAACTTTTAACAATGATATTTTCGGAGAATTATTTTCCCGTGGAAAATTTTCTTGAGTGGAAATCGGTCTTTAAACAGTATGTATAAAAAAACTGATTTGAAATTGCACTCAATTTCGCAAAACAGCTATTAGTAGCAATAGCTATATATATATATATATATATATATATATATATATATATATATATATATATATATATATATATATATATATATATATATATATATATATATATATATATATATATAACCGCGTTTTCGATTATGTTTATGATTATAAGATTTGGTTTCGTTGGTTATAAAACTTTTGGTAAAGTGCTCAATGGAAAACCAGAGCATATTTAAATTAAGGTACAACAATCAACAAAATCCACTAGGCATCTTTATTACTAAATAGTTTCGTACCACAAAATGTGGCACTCTTCAGATAAATTGACCTAATGACTATAGATTAAAAGTTACAAGGTTATATATGTATACAAGTGGATGAGACTTTAAAAACTTAATCCTATTTACAAACCACGCGATTTAATTAACATGTTATGTGATAAGCTGACAGGACGCGGAAAGATTAACACACCGCGGTATATTTAAATGTCTAGCTTTTTAAATGTTACTTAAAAGGAATTTTTTATTATGCCTACATGCAGACACTAACTCATTTCGTTTGTTTAAAGTGGCCATTTTTGGCTTACAAATAATAAAGTATTTCTCCCATAAACATAAATTACACCGATTTGAAGCACAGTTATAAGGCTTAGCTTGTTTCAATAGTTTCCATTTGATTGTATAATTGATGTTTTTGTTTTTCAATTCCCACACGTATTTGCTTAGTTCGGTAGCGTTCCGTTTGTCGAAAGAGTTGAATGATGCTTTATGGTTTGCAAGTCTAGTTTTAAACGAGTTTTCTGTAAGTCCGGCATATGTTTCGGGAGGCCTATTTGTTGTTTTGTCCTTAGTAGTGACTGTGGCTTGATATACAACCGATTCAGTGGTACATTTGTTAGATAGTGGGCACAGTTCTTTATTGCTTTTAGGGCAACTACACATGTTAAGACCACTAGTGCTGGAAATTGTAGCCAACGTAGATTTGTTGTGTCCATCGA